GACAACTCTTTCCTCATGTTGTCACAATGTGCTGCTGGGGAAATTTTGTCCTGAGTGACTCCCCTGGAGAGTCCTGCGGATCTGGTGGCTGGCTCCCCACAATGAACCCCTTGTGCCCTTTCCCTTTTTTGACTTAATTTATCTCCTTTCCCTGTAACAAGCTGTGGCCACAGAAGAAATATATACTAAGATTAGGTCCTCTGAGTATTGCCTAAGGAATCACAGAAGCCAGTTGCAGGGTTGGGGACCCACTCAGAGATGGGAGCAAAATGCAGTTCATTTAGGTTTAAAGACACATAAAATCAGACTACGCGTCGTTAACTGAGAAGTGTGTGATGCACAATTACAAAACCCCGAATGGTACATAGGTGGATACTGTCAGAGAGGTACACAGGCTCTGCAGGGGGTTTATATCCTTTAGGTAATGGAGCAGATTGCAAACTATTAAGATTCGATGAGGCTAGTGATGGTTTCCTGCGCTTCCATAGTGTTCTCCATACCATTATGTTTTAGATGATTTCATAAGGAAAAGCAGTGGAAAGCAAACAGCAGAGAATATAAGGAAGGTACCTCTGAAGCAGATCAGATGTCTATTTCAGTCCCAGGTCATGGTCCCTGCCCTCAGCCTTCTACAGCTCTGAAGAAGCTCAGAGACCAGAGTCCCAAGAAGTGGCATAAATCTCATGCCCAGTCCTTCCCCAAGCAGGACTGCAATTGCAGGAGAAGGAAGTAGGAGTCAGCACTCTGCCCACTCCATAAAGGTCAGAGGTTGAGCCCAGGGAGAGAGGAAATGCTCCAGGCTGCAGCTCCAAGGGTGGGCACAAGATGCAATTTTAATTTCATTACCCAGCATCATTATTATTACAGACATATGCTGGACCATTGGTGACCTTTACACATGAGAGTTTGATTGTCTTTTCCTTCAAAGGGATATGCAAAGAAAATGGCACAGAATGAGAACTGGCCTTGGATCCAGCTGTAATAAAAAATGTTAATGGTTTATTATATTTTCTCAACACAGCTCATCCGGGAAGAGTGCAGGATAAGTCAGAAAGCACCTATTGTTCATGGGGCATTCAGAAACTTTAAATGCAGGTCTTATATTCTAGAGATCTGGATCATAAACAGACAGGTTCAATGACCTCGCACTGTGCGTGGGAAGGAACAAGGGTAAAGTTGGCCTGTGTCTGCCTGTTCACCGCTTCAGTATCTTCTGCCATCCCTTGGGACTAGCATGGTCCTAGAGAACATATTCTGAACTAAACAAAGCCAATGGTGACCATGTAGCAGGTAGCTAGCCAATCTCTTCACCAGCCAAGAGTCAGTTTAGAAGTCACACCTTTAATATGCACCTCTGTTCCACCATGGGAATAATCCTACTGCCTTCTGGCCATGCTGGTGTTTCTTCGAAGCAAAAGTCTGCTTCTGCATCGCTGTGAAGGCAACAAAAATTTGCATCTCTGTTTGTATCAACACCAGTGGGCAGGAATGGCTGCTGCTCTCTGGACCTATGCTGTACTCCAAGGATGCTCAAAGGCAGTGTGAGCACATGCAAGGGTGCTGGTGCACACCTTTATGGGCCAGGAACTCCCCTAACAGCTCTGACTTGAGAACAGTTCACCAGATTGCTGGCTCTTACAGGATGCAGAGGATTTCCCTGCTTGTTCATGCTTGCCCTGGCACCTTTCCAGGCATTTCTCTAGTGGTCTCCAACATTCACATCTGACCCTACCCTTATATCTACTTCTTAGAAGACATGGGTAGTACAACTGTATTTTTCAATACTCATAAAGAACAAAAATCAACAATGAAGTGAAAATATTCTTCTTCAATGAGTAACTGGGGAAAACATTTTCTTGGGGGAAAACATTAGTTTTATGTAGTAATCTACAAGGAAAAGCAAACTGTTCTTTGGTATCTGTAACTGAAAAAGTTATTATAGAATAAAATATGTTGTGTGGTCAGGGCACTGTTTGCACTGCTCAAAACATGCTTTATTTTCAACAGCATTTCTTTATGCATGGAGAACCAGCAGTCAATGTAAAATCAGTGAGACTGTGCAATGTGAGAAATCATTAGTACCTTAGTTTCTACCCCATGTGTTGAGTCATGCTGGCTGCTCTGGGGCCCTCGCACACCAGCAGCAGATAGAACATGAGCTCTGAGTGACCACCCAGATCCCAACTGTGCCCACAGAGGCATTGTCCCTGGGGGGCTAAGTGTGTTCTCTCTCTCTCTGTGTGTGTGTGTGTGTGTGTGTGTGTGTGTGTGTGTGTGTGTGTGTGTACTGTTGCTGTAGTGGTATGTACCAACACCTAGTTTTCAGCACTGACCACAAGAGCTGATTTCTAACATTCATAGATTGAAGAACATAACCCATTGTGCTGGGTCAGTCCAGAGCTCCTGCCTGCTCCCTGGGGGAATCTCCAGAGAGGAGTCAGGAGCCACAGGTAGCCCTTGGTGTGGGACTGATTTTGTATCAGCCCCCTTTCCCAGCCATGCACCATGTGGATAGACATGTTGACTCTGCAGTCTTCTCCTCTGCCTACTGCTTCTAGTGACTAGATCAGTCCCCCTGTCCACCTTCAGCCAACGGTGATGATAGCCAAGACTATTGTGGCTTAGATCTTCAAAGCTCATGCACTACAAGTCTGGCACACGATGCATCAGTTTTCACAGATGGGGCCTTGGGAGGTGGCTGGATCATGATATCTCTGTCCTCACCAGTGGTTTTAGACACTTACAGATCCGTAGTTTCACGGGCTTTTGAGAAGGGACTTTGTTCTAAAAAGGAGCTGTCTCTTTGCTTCTTGGCCACCATGAGGTAAGCTGCTTTGCTCTACACATAATGCCCAGGCCTGAAGGCAATGGGGACCAGCTGTCACGCTGGGGCCTCTGAAACCATGGGCCAAAATCAATGTTTCCTCCTTTTAGATCTCAGGTGCTTTGTCACAGCGAAGGATGCTAACATAATTGCCCAAAATATTCCTTGAGCGTTGATTACATGCAGACTTAACACTCGGTCAGTCCACACAGTTACCACATGAGCGGGTAATGCTACCTTTTGCCATTTTCAGATAAGAAGACAGATAATGCAGATGGTAAGTGTTATCTTTGTTGGGTTTTTATTGCTGTGATAAAACACTGTCACCAAAAGCAACTTCTGGAAGAAAAGGTTTATTTTGCTTACACTGCCGCATCACAGTCCATGCTCAAAGGAAATCAAGACAGGAGCACAATACAAGAACCTGGAGGCAGGAACTGAGGCAGAGTCACAGAAAAGTGTTGCCTGCTGGCTTGTTCCACCTGGCTTGCTCAGCCTGCCTCCTTATATCATAGAGGACCACCAGGGCTGGGCCCTCCCACATCAATCACTAATCAAGAAAATACCCTGCACAGACCTGCCTACATATGAAAGTATGTTCTCAGCTACGATTCCTTTCTGACAGATGTGTCTAGATTGGTGTTGAGTTGGAGTAGCCCACCAGCACAAGTACCTCATGTGGGTCACACAGTAAAAATGAGCAGAATGGGCCAGAGCGTCTGTGGCACGAGCATCTGCCTTTCACCAATCCCTCTGCAACTCAACTTTATGTTTTTTTCAAGTGACCAACAGCCAGGGGCTAGAGAGATGGATCAGTGGTTAAGAGTACTGGCTGTTCTTCCAGAGGACCCAGATTCAATTCCCAGTATGCACATAGCAACTCACAGCTGTCCGTAACTCCTGTTCCAGGGCATCAAATATCTTCACACAGACATACATGCCTGCAAAACAACAGTTCACATAAAATACAAATAAATTATTTTTAAAAAGTGACCAACAGCCTTAATTATTTTTGTGTTTGGTTTCATAGTTTCATGTGTTAATCCCATCAAATGCCAGTAAAGACCACCGACCCAATTTTTGGTCAGATTAAGCAAGCTTTAATTTTGTGCACAACAAAGCCAGTCCTGCAGCTAATGTAGGGTAAAAAGGGCCAGCCAAAGAAACCCACCCTGACCCTGAAACCACAGCCAAAGAAACAACCCACCCTAACCCTGAAACCACAGCCAGAGAAACCCACCCTGACCCTGAAACCACAGCCAAAGAAACCCACCCTGACCCTGAAACCACAGCCAGAGAAACATGCTTTGGCCCTGGAACCAAAGCCAACAGAAGAAACACACCCTAGCCCTGAAACTAGAGCCAAAGGTTAAAAAGGGCCAGTGAAAGAAACATACTTTGGCCCTGAAACCAGAGCCAAATCTGCCCTGACCAACTGAACATAAAACCAACCAATCCCTGAGCATGAAATCTAGCCACTCCGAGCTTGTCCAAGCACAAAGGGATGGAAATCTGACCAACGCCCTCCCTGAATATCTTGTCCCTGGAAACACTCGGCCCCTAAGAAGCCCTACGTAAGCCCCTCCGCCTGCCCCGCTGGCAGCTGTCCCCCTCCACCCT